CTCTCTGCAGAATCTCACGACTCTTGCTCTCGAAGGTCTCCTCCATGCCCTTGATTTCCTCTCGCATGCTCCGTTCATGCTCGGTAATCTTGGCCGACGCATTCGTCAGCTCGATGCGCACGTCGTCTGTCTCCATCAAAAGTTGCAGCAATCTGGACAAGATCGCAACGCGTTCCTCAAAAGAAGGTGGTGGGGTGGATTTCTCTAGAGCAGTGCTGCGAGTGGGCTCCGCATCGGTTGTTAAGCGGTTGCTGGCCGACGTGCCTCGCGATCCAGACTTGTCCATCTGATGACTTCTGGCGGCATTTCGACCACTGCGGCGAATCCATTGAGGTCCTTCCGCCTCAGAACCAGTCTCCGATGCATCGGATGGATCTGCAGATAAAGCTGCTCGCGAAGATCGCGTGGAGCGCTGGGGCGGCGCTTTCCCAAGGCGTCCAGAACGCCGTGTGGGTACGACATCGTCCGAAGAGTCTTCCAAGGCCGAGGTGCTTTCTTCCTCCGATGCCATCGCTACGGACGCAGTGCGCAAGGACCGCCCGGTCCTGCCTCGCAGCGATTTTCGGGTGACCACCTCACCCTCGCTCTCCTCCTCGTCGCTGTCGACATAACCTGTCACTTCCTTTCTGCTCTGATCCCTCATCCTTTCTCGTGCGTTCAGCTCCGCACCACGTCGCGTCCTTGTTGACCGGCTACCCAGCAATGTACCCGAGTGCGCGGCTGCAGCAGCATCGCTGGCCTCTTGGACTGAGAGCGCAACTTGCGCTGGAAGCAGACTTACTTCAGGCAGCTCCTGCGGGGCTACGCCATGCTTGACGCAGACCCGACGAGCAGCTGACCAACACTCTCCACGCTGAACTTCCCCATTTTGTTTTCGCAAGATGGTCACTACTTCGCGCATGGCATCGTTCGGCTGCAGACATTGGCAGCAGATCAGACGCAAGCCCTCATACCAAAGCAATTGCCTTGCTGTCGCCACTCACCGCCCCTGACCTGATATTGGACAATCCCGCCAGGATCGCTGCGATGGCCTCCAAAATGATGTGAACGTCGCTTTCCAACCAAGCGTCAAATCTATCTAAACGTGACAGCACCGCTCTGGAGAGACAGAAGTCTCGGTCAGCGTCGTTATCACCAAGCGCACACGAAACTTTCTCTTGCATGCTCACTTGGGAACACGAACCAGATCAAAGCGCACGAGTGTCTCGTAGATCCATATCCGCTCCTCGATGTTGGGCGTGAAGAGCCTAGTATGTATGCGCGACAACAAAGGTGGTCCGCTTTTTGGTACCTTCGGTTTCTTCAGAGGCCTTGGCAGGTTCAGCTGCTTGACAGGGGCTTTGACGACCGAGACCGGTTTGAGAGGAGGCGATGGGGTCCTTAACCCATCAGAAACAGCGCCCGACGTGGCCCTTCTAGGCGAAGGCGTCGCCAACTCGTCCCTTAGTGGTGGGGTGTGCAAGGCCGGACTGCTGTTGCGAGGCGGCAGTGACTTTTTGTCGACGCTGCTTGGCCCTGCTGCTGGTATCGCAGCGCTTAATTGCGTCTGCTTCTTCGCCTTCGGTGCCTTCGAAGACCC